AGAAGAAGGAGGAAGAGGAGAAGAAGGGGGAGGAAGAGGAAGAAGAGGAGGAGGAAAAGGAGGAGGAGGAGGAAAAGAAGGGGAGGAAGAGGAAGAAGAGGAGGAGGAGGAGGAAGAATAAGAAGAGGACGAGGAAAAGGAGGAAGAGGAAGAGGAGGAGGAGGAGGAAAAGAAGGGGAGGAAGAGGAAGAAGAGGAGGAGGAAAAGGAGGAGTAAGGGGAGGAGGAAGAGAAGAAGAAGAAGAAGAAGAAGAAGAAGAAGAAGGAGGAGGAGGAGGACGAGGACGAGGAGGAGCAGGAGGAGGAAGAAGGAGAGGAAGAAGAAGAAGGAGAGGAAGAGGAAAAGGAGGAAGAGAAGCAGGAGGAGGAAGAGAAGAAGAAGAAGGAGGAAGAGGAGAAGAAGGGGGAGGAAGAGGAAGAAGAGGAGGAGGAAAAGGAGGAGGAGGAGGAAGAGGAATATACATTTAACATTATACGAATATACATTTAACATTACGTCTTCAAAATATTCTTACGATACCTTTTGAAAAGAAAAATCTTATGTGTTCCTTTGAACCAAGATGTGAAACTAAGGTATAAGAAAAGAGAGAAAAGGGGGAAAAATATAGCTTACTAAATCACTGTTATGACATAAATCATCAGGAAATCATTATTATGACATGAAGAAATGAAAGAGTTAATGAGATATTTGAGGATGACAAGAAAGCCCCCCCGCCCCCCCAAAAAAGAAAAAAAATAGAAAATAAAAATCAAATATCAAATTAAAGTATTAGGAAAGGAAATACATATGTATGTAAACAAAAAAAGAACATTAAAATAGATGCCTTGTCCCTTGTTTATGTTGTCTTCGGGGAAAAATGTGACTTTTGACTGAAATTGTTGTATACTTTTATGTGTTTCTTTACATTTCACTCTGAAGAGGTTACGAAGCCTTCTCGAGAATAAATGGTATTTTTTATTATATTATTAGTAGCTGAACTTACACCATGTATTATGAAAAAAAATTATATTAATTTCTTAGACATTCTAGGTATGCTTATAGACTTTTCTTATCAAATACCCACATTTCTTTTACATTAATTTGCAAGTCATTCACAATTTTTTTTTTGCATTCTTCTTGATTTCTATCCTCTTCATGTTCTTCCCCTGTCCCTCTTTTTTCTTCTCCTCCTCCTCCTTCCCTTGTTCCTTCTTTTCCTTTCTATCCCTCATATTTTGAAAGTGACAAGAACTGTTAAAAAAGTACAAAAGTAAATATGAACATAAAGATGGGACATTAAAAAGGGAAGTAAATATGCAAATGTAAAAAGTTGAATATTATTTTAAAAGCTTCACCTCTTGCTTATGTTATCCTTTATCAAAAAAAAAAGTAGCATTTTACTCAAATTCTTGAGTTTCTTCACATTTCACTCTAAAGATGTAGCGAAGGCTTGCCAATGAATGAATGGAAATTTATATAATATTGTTAATGTTATGTGAGCGTAGATTAAAGCATGTATTATGAAAAAAATGCGTATTTACTTTTGAGATTTTCTTGGTATTTTATAGACTTTTCCTGTCATATGATCGTATATTTTCTATATTCATTTGCTATTCATTTGCATGATAAAACTAATTTTCTTTTGCCTTTATCCATCACCCCCTATGCATCTTTATTCCCCTGCCTCTCTTCTTTCTTTTCCTCACTCCTCTCCTCCAATTTCCCCGCTTCTCCTCCTCCTTTTTCTTTTCCCCACCCTACTTTCACGCCCCCCTCCTTCCCCTCCTCCTCCTCCTCCTTCCACCTTCCCCTCCCCCCCCTCCTTCTACCTTCCCCTCCTCCCTCTCCTTCTCCCCACCCCAATCCTCAGCCTCCCTCTCCCCCCCACCCTTACACCGCCCCCTGAACACCACCCACCTGACACTGGCAGTTGTGGTTGTGGCCCCCCTGGTACCCCCACGTCTTGAGGAGCTTGTCGTTGAGCTTAAGGAGCTTGAGGACCCGCTCTCCCACCACAGAGAGGATCCCGTTGTCCTCCAGGTGGTAGGTGACACTCGACACAGGACCCAGGCCAGGGGTGTCACTTAGGCGCAGGACCGAGAACACCTGAGGGAAAGAATGAAGGGGAGGGTATGAAAAGGGAGAGCGATGGAGAAAGAGAGAGAGAGAGAGAGAGAGAGAGAGAGAGAGAGAGAGAGAGAGAGAGAGAGAGAGAGAGAGAGAGAGAGAGAGAGAGAGAGAGAGAGAGAGAGGGAGAGAGAGAGTGAGTGAGTGAGGGAGGGAGGGAGGGAGGGAGGGAGGGAGGGAGAGAGAGAGAGAGAGAGAGAGAGAGAGAGAGAGAGAGAGAGAGAGAGAGAGAGAGAGAGAGAGAGAGAGAGAGAGAGAGAGACCATTACATGAAAATACAATCATACTTTATATTAATTGCATGTTTAAAGGGAAAACCATTTAGAAGAGAGGGATAGAAAGCTAATCTAGAAACCACCTTATTTTAATTTAAATAAACGTAAATAAAGTTAAATACAATATATTCATAATTTCATCTATTACAAAGGTATGGGGTTATAATATGGCTGTTTCCTGTTGAACCTCCAGGAAAGCTGACATGCAGGTCCGCCCATGTGTGAAAGCCTCGGCTGCCCACCTTCCCCTTCTCCCACAGGAAGAGCACGAGCGTCCAGTCAGGTGGGCCGCCCTGCGCAACCACCATGCGCTCGTCGGGGCTGAACGCCGCCGCCACGTAGCGCTCGCTCACCATCTCGGCGCAGCTCAGGAACCGCAGCCGCTTGCGGGCCGCCACGTCCCAGACGCTCACCGCCGCCGAGTCTCCCGCGCGACATACGCCTAGGTATTGCCTTGGGGGGGGGGGAGAAGGAGAATGGAACGAAGGGAAGAAAACATTCAAATATTCGTCAGCATGTGCTTCTGGGCGAAATACCAATAGTTTTTTCTGTAACTGAAGTATTCAAAGAACACTCGCAAGATTCGGACACATAAAACCACAACGTCAACCTAACCAACACCAATTCCAAGTGCCAACCTCTTGGGCGATATGGCCAAGGCGGTCGGAGTGGCTTCCTCCGTGAGACTGACGAAGTGCTGCTGCTGCTTGGCCGTGTCGTGGAGGACCAGGTAGGACCCCGCAGGATACGCCACCGTGTCTGTGTCCACGTGCACGACGCACTCCGTCACGCCCCCCCTTAGCCCGAAGACGTACTCGGGTTCGACGAGAGGGACGCCCATTCTGGTGCTGGGGGAAGGAGGGAGAAGAGGAGGGATGAAATGGGGGCGAAGGGGAGAGGGAGGAAGAGAGGGGAGAAGGAGGAAGGAGAGGAGGGATGAAATGGGAGGAAGGGGAAATGGAGGAAGAAAGGGGAGAAGGAGGAAGGAGAAGAGGGATGAAATGTGAGAATGGGAAAGGGGGAAGAGATGGGAAAAGGAGGAAGGAGAGGAGGGATAAAATGGGAGAAAGGAAGAGGAGGAAGGGGAGGGGTGAAAAAAGAGAGGGGAAAAGGGGGAAGGAGAGGAATGATGAAATGGGAGAGGAGAAGAAGGAGGAAGGGAATAATGAGAGAATAAAAGGGAAAGAGGAGAAGAAGAGTAAGGAAGGGAAATATGAGAAATAAAAGAAAAGAGGAAAAAAGGGATAAAAGAGGGAATAAAGAAGATAAGGAAGTGGGGATAGATAAGAGAAAGGGAAGATATGAAGGAGAAGAGGAATAATATGAAAGAAAAGAAGAAAAGGAAGAAGAACGAGGATAAGGCAAGAAACTGTAAAACAGGCAAATAAGACCACATACTCGGGTTTAACGAAAAATACACCGATCTTCGTATTATTCGATGTAAAAAGAAGGAATTAAAACATAACTAGAAAAAAAAAGAAAATAAAACTCGATGATAGATACGTTGATAAAGCACACTACAAAAAATAAAATAAAAATAAAAATGAAAGCTGTGACACAACCGAACACAAGGAGCTGTTCCAGGAGGAAGAAGGAATAAAAAGGAATAAAATGAGATAAAGGAAGAACAGGAGGAGGAAGAGGGGGAACATAAGGAATAGATAGAGAAGGAAGAAGGCCGTAAAAAAACTGAATGCCATGACATACTCGGCTTCGAAGAGAGGAATGAGGAAGAGGAAGAAGAAAAGGAAGAAGGCTGTAAAATAACCGTTAATGGGGTCGAAGGCGGCCATGTTGGTGTTGCGAGAAGGAAGAGAACGAATGAAACGAGAGAGATAAAGAGGAGAGGGAGAAGGAATGAAACGAGAGAGAGAAAGAGGAAAGGGAGAAGGAATGAAACGAGAGAGAGAAAGAGGAAAGGGAGAAGGAATGAAACGAGAGAAAGAGAAAAAGGGAAAGAGGAGATGGAGAAGGAATGAAACGAGAAAGAGAAAGAGGAGAAGGAGAAGGAATGAAACGAGAGAGAGAGAAAGAGGGGAAAAAAGAGGGAATGAAACGAGAGAGAGAAAGACGAGAAGGAAGAAGAAGACGACAATGAATACGATGACGAAGAGAAAGAATAACAGTAAGAGAGAGCTGTGGGACATGGACAAAATAATAAAGAGTAAAATGAGAAGGAAAAGGAGATAAGATAATAAAAGAAAAAAAAGAAAATGAAGAGCTAGAGGAAAGCCGATCTAGTGGTTGTGGAAGAAGTGGAATCGAATAAAATAAGATGAGAAAAGAATAAAAAGGTAAAATCATGAAGGACAATAGCAAAGGTATAGGAAGAAGAGGAACAGAAGAAGGAAGAAAATGAAAAAGAAGAAAAACAAGCAGAACAAGGTAAAGAACAAGAGGAGCAAGAAAAAGAGGGCGCAGAATAATAATAATAATAAGAAGACGAAGAAGAAAAAAGAAAGAAAAAAAAACTCTCGACGAAGATATGAATGAAAGCAAAAAAAAGAAGAAAAAAAACATGATACGGTAATTGTGCCTATTTTTATATTATAAAGAGAGAAATTAATGGGTGTTTTGATGTAATCTTACGAAATGGGAATGTTAACTGCTAGGATACAT